TTTTAAGTTGTATTTTCTGGGGACAAGGGACAGCAGCAGTTCTCTGTAAAGTTGTGGGCAGCATTAGTCCAGCCCTGAGGGCAAAGCTGTGTATGAAGCATCACCCCCAGCCTGTGCCCTGCAAAGCCCGTCCCATGCTGCTGAGAGCAGTGCCAAGATGCCAGATACCCTCGGGCAGCTCCTTTGTTTTAAGATTTGCATCTCTGGACAGGAGCTGTTCATGGCTTAAGGCTTTGCAGTTCACCTAATTAAAGGCATGTTAATGCTTTCTGCTTTTGCCCCCTTTCTGGTAGCATCAGCTGAAAGGTTTTGTGTTTGCAAGACAAGAAGCAATTGTCTGAACACTTGGGCAGTCAATAAATTGCTACTGGCTAGTAAAAGGCTTTGTTCCATTCTTCTTCAGTTTGTTTAACTTCTAGTTTGATTGGCCTGCTGGGTTTGCACAATTAGGAAGATCACTTGGAGAGTAGTCACCCTTATTTAATCTTTTCCTGACCACCCCTCTAACATATTGCTCATAAAATGTCACAACTCTCTATCTACAAATAGTTTGGGCAAAATCCCTTTACATTTTGAATTTGTCCAAGAAATATAAATTCTATATTTCAAAGCCACATGTAAGAACTGTTACAGACTGGATCAAATTTAAGCCATCAGAGGAGTTGTTCTGGCACCAGCTATGCCCACTGGTGATGGGAGACTGGCGCAGGGGCCCTGCACATCCCAGGTCTAGTCCCAGCTATTCTGATTTTTCCTCTTCAAACTCTCTGAGTTCTCTCAGGGATCTTTTATTAAGGCTTCTTAACTTTAATTTATTGTAAACAGAGCTTGGAGAATAAACTATGCAGTGAATTTAACGTAATTTCTGCTGATAGCACATTAATACGTAGTGTGCAGCTTCCTTGTGAGTGTTTCTGGGACCAGATGAGAAAAGTGCTCTGAAGAAGTGGGATTTTGCTTGTCATGAATATTTATATAAGAAAGCTCTGTGCCTTGATAGTTCATGGAATGTAAATGTAAAAAGGGAAGAAGCATATTTTTTAAGCTGTATTTTTCCTGTACACCTTTTAGTCTCCTTTTGAAGTTCTAGAAAATATTATGCTCTTTCATAGATATATTTCTGCATGCAGAGCAGCATGGTGACACGCTGTGGCAGGACTTATCCTGATGGTACCAGGGCAGCAGGTGGTAGCTGGTGGGGCATGGCCGTGCTTCTGCATAGGCCCATGTAATTCAGCAAAGCTCTTCACAGTATGTGTGACCAGAATGTGCACTGACTGCAATACTGGGCAGCAGAATAATGTTCCTGTTGGTGTTGCTGGATGTTAGGACAGACCTTTTGTTGAGTTACATCTAAATATGCAAAGTGTAAATGTCTCACTGCATTTCCACTTACCTTTTTTCATGTGATTTTGCATGCAGTACGATGAGAAATGCAAATTATGGTTATTATTTGCTCTACATTGAAGAATTCTGCTTACATTCCTAGGAAATGTTAAAACACTGAATGGGAAGGGTAAAGTAATGCTTTGAGCAAGAGCCAGGTGTAGAACTGTAATGAGACAAATCTTGAAGACAAGGCTGACGCAACAGAGCTGGTTTTCCAAAACTGAAATTAGTTTTGTACAGTGGTTGGAAGGGAGAAAAATTACCAGGGAAGATATTCTTTCTTCTTCTGGGGAAAGAATAATATTTGAAATCAGCACCATTTTCTGATTTAGGTAAGGAAAGACAGGCCAGTGAGTTACTATTCCTGCAAATATTATTATATGCAGTGACTGTCTTACACTGGCATTTAGTACTTGCTTATGAATGCTGTCATCTAAATGTATCATCCTGACACTACATTGTAAGAGCTACCATGCAAAACTAACAGATTTACCACATTTCCAGCCACGGCTCTGGGAAATGCTATTCTGTGCTGCAGCATTGGAAAGTACCTTTCATACAGATGGGGTAATGCAGAGGCAAACGCAGTTTCAGCTATATCTCAGCTAAAAGTCACTGCAAAAATGTTACTTATTTAATTTTTGATTGCACACTCAGCACCATCAATATATGTGTGTAGCCACCTGAACTGAATTTCTGTTCTTAGAACAAAATTTTGCAAATGTGTTAATAAGTAAAGAATAATTTCAAATTAAGTACCACAAATACAGAGTCACTTTTGGAGAATATAGTTGGTCGCAGAACTTCTCATTCCCTAGTTTATTCCCTTGAAATGTATTTTAGTTAAAATTTTGTTTTTGACTACTTCAGGCTTCAGAAAATCTATGACAAAATTGCTTCATACAACAGTTTTGTTGTTCACCCATCACATTAAAACAATAAAATGTCCATGTATTGGATATTCAAATGATCAGGCAAATATTTCACCCAGTGTACAACAAAATATTATGAGGTAATTTTATTTTTTCCCATTTTTAGGTAAAAATATTACAGTATACAAGATAATCTTATTAAAGGTAAAAATACAGTATTTTGCTTTTTCTCTAAACAGATCTACGTACAGTACACTTTTTATTTTGTTTTCTTTTTTAATGTTTTTATACAAATATAACTATTATTCTATTAGGCTATCTGTGTTCTCATCTGGCACTTAAGAACTGATCACAGGTCACCTTCTGGTTCTGCTTGTTTTTCTTAGCTGATATCTAAATGCAATGGTCATCTTATAGGTGTATCTTGTAAACAAACAGGTCCGTTCAGTGGTTCCCAAGTAGTAAGGTGTGCTTTAAATAGTTGAAATCACGTAGCTAAATGTAAAAACCCAAGCAATCGAAGTCTGTAGTTGCTTTGCATCGACTTATTTTTACCATTCATAAAAATGCAGTCTGATTATTTGTATTACTGCAGCCTTTAAAGCAGTTTTAATTCCTTCCTGGTCCTCTGAAAGAGCCAAACTCATAACTCAAGACAATCATTTCTCCGACGATTTTTTTTTCTCTCTCTTTTTTTTTTTTCTTGTTCTTTTAATTATTATTATTATTATTTTCACGTTGTCCTTGGTGGAATTGAAGCCTTTTCGTATTGTTTTAAATGTTTGAAACTACTGGGTATGTTCTTTATGATTTATCTCACTCTATGGCTTGCTGACCTCTGAAATCCATAAGTAGAGCAGAGTTGTGTTGCTGTTGGATTAATGCTCTTCCTTGTACTGAACACGTTAGCACAATATATATTATTTCTGCTGTGGATATTACTGGGAAGTGAGTTTCATATCACTCTGAATATGTCAGTACACTGTTGTTGAAGCTGGGATCATCTGAGGCTAAAAGAGAGGCTAGGTGTGTACGAAGAGACCATATCCATTAGTGGGTTAGATAATAGAGCTGGAAAAGGCAGAGAGGAATTTTTGGCTGGGAATCCCTTTATCAGGTTCTAGCAGAGGGATGAAAGGATGCTTTACCCAACAAGCTTTGTTTATTTTTCCAACTCTGTCATTCAGCCTAAAAAGTAGATGACCTCCACCTGAGACACTTGGCCTCGGTCATTTCAGCAGATGATTTCTCATTTGTTTGTCATTAACCACAGTGCTGTTCAAAGTTATCTTCATGGATGCCCATGTAAACATAAAAGGAGAGTACACACCCAAGGTTAGGATTTTTTTAAAAATTTGCAAGGAACATTTGCTTGGCACAGTTTTTCTTCAGACTTCACCCACTTCTGATCAGGTCAGTCTGAGTTGGTATAAACAAGCACAGTCCTTTCACTGGACTCAGGCAGGTGAAGATATGTTTTTGTTTTTTGCTTTTAACTAAAGGTGCCTTCCCTATGGTGCATTTGTTTCTGATGTCAAAGGGCATATATTTTTACCAGTAAGTCACTTTTGTGTCTTAAAAGTTTTAACTGGTAATTCACCAAACACAGGAGTAATGTGAGGTGCTCCTACCAATACTTGCTAGTTCACAAAAGTTGAGTGTGTGGCACCCATCTTTTGCACTGCTTTTGCCCTCCTAAGATGCTGGTTGAGACTGAAAAATGTTTAGAAAACCAGTTGTTTTTCTCTGTGTCCACTATCAAATGTCCTTATTTAAATTCTTCCCAAATTTGTCACTCAACTGCTGTATTAGTCTTGCCAGCTCATTGGTAGCTTGTGACTTTTCCTCCAAGAGTTCATATCGGAGACTAGAAATATCTTGCTTAATCTCTTTAAGTTCTCCTAAAGGGAGGAAAATATTCTTGTTAGCAATATTGAATCAAAGGAGTCATCCCTATGGTTTTAAGACATGAGAGAGCATTTAGGTGTGCTTGGTCAACAGTGTGTGTGACACTCTATATGATGTTGCTGGGTTCATGCCCTTCATATTTGGCTTTACAGTAAATAACCCATACTTGCAGCAGTGGTACCAACTGCAATAGCAAGTGCATATGGAAAGTTCATCTTTCTTCTAAAGTCTGTTCCCTCTCCATGTATAGATCCCCATCCATACTGGACATTTACAGAAGGGTAGCAGAGAGAAGGTATTACGAGGAGTTTCTTTTCCATCTACTTAAAATTCCTATATGACACCATGGCAGTGCACATCTTTATCCAGTTCCAAAAAGTCTGTGGGCTAAGTACAGGCAGCACAGTCAGAAACTGCTGTATTTAGACCTCAAGAAAAGGCCAGGTATTGGCTGTACCCTGGACCCTGGGTGTTGTAAAGCAAGGATAGGTAGAGGTGTGGGGCAGAGCAGGACTAAGTGTAGACAGATCCTACGATACACGTGTTCTGCTAAGGAATATTTCAGAGCATTAAGGTGGCTCAGAGTCACCATTGTTTGCCTTTGTGTGAGCCTGAGCATGCTCTCTCTTCACAGAGGGTGTTAACAAAGCACAATCCTCTTACTGGAGGTATCAGTAGCAATAACATTACACGCTCTAATTTGTGGCAATAATAAAAATCCACTTGCCTTCATTGACTTCATCATTTTCTCGGTCAACCTGAGCCTTCAGTACATACCGCTTAATCAAACGTTTCATTATTTTCTGAAAAGAGAACAGAAACACTTATCTTAACATGAGCTTATCCACACCTCCTTAATTCTAGACTTATTATGAGCAATTCAAGTGCCTGATTTCTCTAAGGATGAAGCCTGGCCTCAGAGGAAACAAAGGGAATTTTATTACTGACTTTTCATTTATTCTCTACTTTATATTATGAACTCTGTATTAAAATAGTTGATTGACAGCAATTGCATAATGAGTACACATAAAGATACTTTGGGGTGTTTGTGGGATGCACACAAATGGACAGGATGAAAACACAGATGATGCAGTAGCAATTTAAGAAATGGGATCCAGATCATTTTTTAGCATGTTGCTATTTAATATATCAATAAAATATAATTTACTGGAAGGATTAAGTGGTTAATTAATGTTGTTAACAAAGCCACTCATGATGATGAGCTGAACATCTGACCCAAGGTTAAACAGAAAGACTCTGCTTCGGAATTCAGGCTTATGGAGAGAAAACAGACAATGAGGGACAGAGAAAGAGAGTTTGAACAAAAATGGAGAGCTTGGCAAGAGTAAAATGGCAGATTTTAAGGGACATACACAGGGTAAAAATAGCACCATGCAGATTTATAACATGGGCAATGACTGTTAGTATGGAACAGAGAATACGGAAATTGTAGGAAACGTTTATGAATACAACCTTGCAATGTGATATTGTTCCAAAAATGCATGTTACATTTCTGTAAAAGGAAAGTAACTTTGGCAGTCGATCTACACAGTGGGCTACAGCTGAAGGCCTGCATCATTGCCAGTGACACCAGTGTGAGAAATGTGAAATCATTGCTCTATCAGAGATGATGATTTAGGTGTCCCAACAGATATACCTAAATTTGGTTATCAGATATTTACATTACTTCTTTGGGTACCCAAGTGCTTGATCACCACAACTCAGTCTTGGAGGTCCTCAGGCAGATAAGGCAGCACATGCTGTCATGTTGGGAGCAGCTTCTTGAAGCAGAGTATAATAGGAGAGCCTTTTACTCTCCTATTTTGATTTAACCACTGCCAGAAAGAGGTAGTATTCAAATCGCATTCTTTGAGACAAAAGAGTGATAGGTTCAATGAAGATTTCTGTGCCCTCAAAGCTTTCTGCATGCTCTGTAAACAACAGAGGCCTCAGCAAACATCCAAGAAAAGATAGAAAAAAGATAGAAAACATCTTTTATTTTATTTTTCTATTTTTTTTTGATTAGATGGACGTTATTAAAGGAAAAATATCTCTCAGTGTGAGCTCATATATTCCCAGAGCAATCAGGACTGTCTTAAATATCACTGAAAACACTGCAAAGATTATGGAACATGAATTAAGGAATCAGATTAGAGTAAATCATATTAGATATAAGGAAGAAATTCTTTACTATGAGGGTGCGGAGGCACTGAACAGGCTGCCCAGAGAAGCTGTGGGTGCCCTGTCCCTGACAGCACCCAAAGCCAGGCTGGATGGGGCTTGGGCAGCCTGGGCTGGGGGTAGGTCCCTGCCCAGGGCAGGGGGTGGAACTGGATGGGCTTTGAGGTCCCTGCCAATGCAAACCAGCCTACAATTCTATGAATACACCTGCTCTTTTTTCTTAGTAGCCAGCTCTGAATTATAATGGTACTAAAGGCATGTGAATATCAAAGGAGGATCCAGTCATTTATATAAAGGTCATGTAGTCATGGAATGCGGGATGTTTAGGACTCTCTGTCCTTGTCTCAGAGAGGCATCTGGCTAAGCAGGTGAGTCAATTAAGTCAACAGAGATGAGGCACAGTGCACGTACGGTGTGTTGAAGATGGCCAAGGTAGTAGAATCCAGAGGGAGGTAGGGTTGCCACCTGGGGAAACATAAATGAAGTAATGTTTGGGGAAAGTAGGGAAATTCTGGATCCAAAAAGAATTTTTATTTATTTTTTTCAGAACAGATGACAGAGGAAATTTAGAATAAAACAAGGAATCAACATAAACAATGGATGCTATTATTACCTGGACCAATATCTATCTACTCCAGTTTCCATATAGCTGGTACTGTGGATGGCCACTACTCAAATGTGTGTACTAACCATATTAACTGCTGTCTGTGATGAAAGCCAAAAGTTTAAGGGTACCTGCCTAATTTATCAAATACACGATGTACTCAGATTTGTCTACAGAAACAAAATATTAAAAATGTGACCATTTTTAACAAGAGGCTACTTAGTCACTTAATAGATATTTCTGCCATTAGGTTTAGGAAATTAATTCATTTTTGCCCCTGTGGCTTCCAAGTCTTGCTTCTCCCTGGTACTGTTCCTTATTGCTACACTAAATGAAATAACCTCTTAGAAAAATAAACCTGGTTACTGCAAGAAAATCCTGAATAAAACTTCAAGACAGACTCTTGGTAATGAATGCCAAGCTGTCTTTTTTTGGTATCCCTCAAGAGCACTGCACGTACATACATGTACGTCAGGTGCACAAAACGCAGATACATCACTTGATAAATTTCACTAAAGAAAACAGTTCAGAGCTAAGCCACTACTTCAAAGGTTTTCCCATTTGCAGAAGAAAGCTTGCTGGCCAGACTATCAAAGTTTGTTCTTCTTTGTATTTAGATAATCAAGATTGTTACACCTTTCTTGTATTATTTGGAAAATTTCTTTCTGCAGCAATGGAAACTTTCTAAGATTATTTGAAGAGAAACCTAGTAGGGCCATTAGGAAAGTAAAATAACATGTAGTTATCTCTCTCTTTGAAAACACAAATACTTTTCACAGCTGCTTTTGGCTTTTTCAACCTTGGAAGTAAGGGCTTAATTTACCACAAACATTAGGTGTTCTCATTTAGAAATAATAGGTGCAGGAAGAGAATGAGTCCAGCAGAGGCTGACACATCTTTCTATTACCTATGGGTCTGAATGTACAGAAAAATGTCAGAAATACTCAAGTGCCAGTTTGAGCACGACAATCATCTCTCTTCCCTTCGCCTTTGATGGTGTAAAGCCAACTAACTCCAGATGCCAGAACAAATGAATTCTGTTTCTAACTGTAGTAGGTGTCTTAAAGACACCTACTATCTTGGCACAAAAGCCTAGACAACTTTTAAGACCAGGAAAATGTTATTACTGGTATGTTGTACGGACTAGGAACACATTGTGCTGGACGCCACACCAGTACATGACAAACAAGTCCTAGAATTGCCATTGCACATCACACCCCATTAAAATATTATTTTTCTCAACTCTCTTCAATGTTAGTTCCTTCAGACATAACAGTTCCCATCAGATTTCTTTCGGGATTCATCAAATCCCATGGGTTGCCTTCTGCTTATTGTGTTATCCTATTACATGCTTGCACAAGAAATAATATTTATGCTGGCACGAATGCTCCAACCGAGACAGAGAGCTGTGCTAGTTCGTGCAATGGCTGAGGTGCCCTGTGCCACTGCTACAGTCGCGGGTGTGTTTGAACCATACCACATTGCAGGTTTAGCTCTGCAGAACAAGTTACTGCCAGAGAAAGCACATGCAAATGATAATGAAAAGGCTGGAGACGTGACACGGTGTCATGACAAAATGAAATGCTGACAATGCAAGACCGGGAGATTAAAGCTCGAATGATATCTCTTGTATTAAATTATACACCCTTGAGTGGAATTAATTAGCGTGACATACATTAACACCATGTCTATTGCCATGGATGATATGCTGCGCTTTTCTCCGAGCACTGTGAACGTGAGGTGCCCCAGCGCTGTCCTGTGGCCACAGCGCAGCTCATCACAGGCTGGCAGCAGCTGGACCAGAGTGAATACAACCCCTGCAGAGCTCTTCAGTGACAGATCTCTTCCCTGGCTCTTGCTTTCATGCTGTGATTACCTGATATCTCGTGGGCTTGTTATAAGCATTCTTCCCCGAATAATTTTCTGAGTTTCGAGTGCTAGACTGAAAGCGAACTTTCTGAAATTATAAAACATCATGATAGATTAAATCAATGATAGCTTCTCATACCCAGGCAGCCCCAAAGTAAACAGAGCCTTATAGAAACAGTAGGAAATGGTTTGATCTATGGGTAGGATAAAAGCCAGCACATTCAGGTCTAAAAAAGTGAACTTTTGAAAAGCAGAAAAGGTTGAAAAACACAAATTACAGAAAAAAGAAAAAAGAGATTCTAAATTGTCTAGACAAAAATGGCATGCTCACTCAATATTTGGACAAGAAGGTGCTAAGAGAAACAAAATATATTTGTCTTGGATTAGTGATTATCAAAGTAGAACACAATTTAAAAAATAGAATAAAAATAAATAGGTTTATAGAGGACAAGTCAATGCACCTATGAAAACATTCAGAAACCGAATTGATTTTCAGCAGTTTTTTTACAACAGTACAATTTGCTACTCGTTTAGCTGAAAAAATACTCCTTTTTTAAAACAGATTTTATTTTTTAAATCAGATGACATTGGAGCTATTAATTTTGCACTCTAGTAGCTTCTAAGGAGTTTTTACAGCACAGAGAATATTTGTAACAAATTTCTTTGACATTATTATTCACCTATGAATTTTTTGGTCCAAGTGCTAAAGAAAAAAATTTTCTCAAAGGAATTAAGTCATATCGTAGACCCAAAGGAGCTGGTGGGTATCAAAAACCCTTGTGACTGCATGCAAATGTATGTACAGGGAAGGCCTTAGTTATGGACTTTTCATCCCTGACAGGCCCAGAGATCCTGTGAAATAATGGTGTTCCTGTTTTTTGTTGTTGGTTTTTGTTTGGTTGGTTTTTCTTTCTCATTCACCAGGTGTGCCATGGTAATATAGAGATGATCTGTGAAAAAAAAATCAACAGGCAAGCAAGAAATGACTGGGAGTTGTCATTGCTTATGTCAAAGCCATGGAAACTGTGAGTTCTGCATGAATTCCACAAGAAAGGACAAGCCAGACACTTTCACTTATATGGCTTGGGGAAGAAGAATCTTAGAGAAAATTGTATTACTTTGGTTTATGCTCTGAAGCGGAAGAAATCCAGACTAAGCAGACATTTTGTAGTTTGATTAAAATAATGTTTTGAAAATATTATCTTTCTAAATCATTATTTGAGATAGAGGAAAAAATATTTCTTTAATTTCAAGAATTCACTGTTCTAGTGGGTCCTTCAGTAATCATTATTAGTGTTAAATGAGTTTATGAACTAAAATGCTGCCACATGTTGTCTAACTTAAAAACTGTTCACAAATAAGGAACTCAGTTAAATTATATGAAAACATGGAGCAGGCCCAATACATATGCCGTTCTCTTAGGTTCATATGAGCTTGATCTTGTCCCAGGTGTGGGCTTTGTCTGGAGCCAGGTGGCTCACCAAGAGTCATCATCCTGCCAGGCTGCATGCTCCTCTAAGGAAAACCAACAGATCCAAACAAAGCCCAAAGCAGGCTACACAAAGGCAAACTGCAGAACCTTTTCCAAGCTCTCTTTCTTTTTCCTGGTGTAACTTGTTCCCTTTCTTTACTTCTGCAAGATTAAAAATGGGGGTAGGCTGCTCACTTCTGAAAGCAGGTTGTTAGAATAGCAATGTGCTGAGGAGCCACACCAGCCTCTCACATGCAGTGACCGTAAGAAATGAGACAACACATTTTGGAGGGCTTTTCTTTTCCCCCAGGAATCAATTCTCAGTATTGTTCTCTTGTTTCAAACCCAACCTGAGCTGAGAAAATTAAATTAGCAAAGCTGTCTCCTCACATCTTTTAATCCACTGAGTTTGATGACTGCAGCCAAGCAGCTGCAGCTGAGCTCCTGTGAATGTTTTGGACTTTTTCTTCTCCTGTGTAATGCAGAAATGTTGCAGGTGGATTTGTCCTGTGAGTAGGTTTGGGTGTGTTACAAATGTATACACTAGGAACACTCTGTCCCAGGCATGCTTTGTACATTGCGGATAAAAATTTCCATGGGTAACATCATTTTCTCTAATTTCTTTGGCATTTCCCTAGGGGAGGAACAAAACTAATTCTGTTGGGAAGGGTCTGGACATTAAGCATATTCTTGCAGCTCTCTTGGTTTGTCATGCAGACACTCACTTTTGATGGGAAAAGCGTGTCACCATGCAGCTGGCGCTTACAAAGCACATTTCTATTTTAAATGACCAAAAAACGAGATGGAAGAGGCAGGATCTGCCCATTAGTAGCTACGCATCACTAGACAGATGCAAATAGAGAACTTGCTAATTACAGCTGTAGGTATTTAGGAGGTGTTATTAATCCCTACTTGGAAACTTGTTCCCAAACCTGGAATGGCAGTAAATGCTATTAATGTAATGGCAGTAAAATTCGGAAATCACTTAAAGGCCAGAGGATGTTTTGAAGAGGCATAAAGGCCTGCTGAGTATGTTAGGAGCCAGATCTAGGATCTGATTTATGCCTCTGCTTTTTCCCTTGGTCTTTGACCTTGCTTATTTGGCTCTGCAAAGTGCCTCCGTTTAGAAGAGCTGCTCTTTCACTGGTGTCCAAACGGTGCCCTGTATAATGAGCCTGGGAGGACCCTCTAGGTGCTAATACAATACAAATAACATGCAATGACAATTCTGGGTAAGAGGTTGCTCTGTCCCTGGTCTACCTGTGAACCATGCAACCCTCTCCTGAAGGTCTCTGGCAGGTGTGGATCCATTACACAAAGAAAGTGAAAAGTAAAGATGCAACATACCCGTTGTTTTGAATTCAGCATCCCCATCTCAAGATCATTTTCACAGTTTTTGGCCTTAGATTTGCAAAGTTTTATGAGGCACATTTTTATTCTCAGTATGAGATAATAAAATGATTTAGGGCTTGGCACTAGATTAAAAGGAGCAGGTAAAGTCCTTCCTTCGTCAAAGTAGGATAGCCAGAGCTTCGCACGTGCAAACTTCCACTCCACATCTGCATCCTCCTTGGGAAGGGAAGAGAAAAGAACACACAAATACATAATTAGTACATAGGAAAGAATTTAGCTATCATAAGGACAAACATACAGGTAAGATATTACCAGAATCAGTCTTGTTTTTGCCAAAACAAGACACCTGACACAACATGTCTTCTTAGGCTTCTCTGTGGTGATCTCAAACTAAGGAAAATTTGACCAAATAAATGAATAAACAAAGAGTACAAGCTCTCCAAATACTAGACTGAACAATAATGAAGGCTGCCTCTGATTAACTGCAATACTAATTACCAGGTAACCGTTATCACTGCATTGGCCAAAAAATCCCCCATAAAGGAGACTTAAGTCCCTGACTTCTATCATCAGCTTATTTTCTCGTTAGTCCCATTTGCTTTCAGCATCATAATGTCCCCAGATAAATAGACCTGCCATTCACCTTCTGCCACTTAAGCAGGTGGAGAAAAAAAAAATCAATCACTGTGCCTGTGAATCTCCTTTATGAATTGTTGGGATGGATCAGGATCACTTCCAAGTACAAGGGCAAGGTCAGCACACTCTTTATGGATCTGCTTGGCATTTATATGGGAGGATGGCCAGACCCAAGTATCAGGACCAGCTAGCAGACAAAGGAATGGAGGAGATACAGCTGCTCTACAGCTGTTTTCATCGCGGCTTATGTGGAGGCCAGCAGCATCAATAGAAGTGTGGGTCTGCCAATTCCCCATACTCATGTACATCTGTGTCATGCTAAAATTAATAACCTGTGATTACCCCGTACCTCTGAAACCCAGTCAAAAACTGGCAGAACACAATTGAGCTTAATTCTGTCATAGATATAAAAATGTCTGCCAATGGAGCTGTATTCACATCTGCTGTTTGGCCTTCTCATTCTTTGCGGTTGAACCTCACAACAACCTAAAGCTGAATTACAATAGAAATCACTTATTAACATTTTTAATGCTTTTCTGCTAAAGAGATACTGATGGAAGTAGTTCTGGTTTCCGGCTGGCAGAAGAATTTTTTTTTTTTTCCATAAATGCAATGTAGCCAGGAAGCGCTAATACTTGAGGGATAAACAGAAGAAAAACAGAAGTAGCTGAAGAGTGATATTCAATGGAAAGCATAAAAATGTGGCCTTATATCTGCAGCTAAAAGTAATGCATGTCCCCACTGACTGTAATGGAATTTAATTCCTCAGTAATTGACATCCTCTGTCTTTATTGACATTGCTGTTGTCAGAAAAATACATTGGCAAAAGGGACTTTGTCTCGTCAGTAGAATGACTTTGTTTTTCCTTAATCTCCCTGTTGCTGAGGATTTAAAGGAATTAGTATGAGATTTACTAGGTTTCTCCCAGTTCTCAAGCAGGAGGATCTGGAATGAGTAGCTCACATTTGTTTTACTTGCTGATAGTTATAATATTCTTTAACAAAGTTTTATAGAATTCCAAGCAGCCAAAAAGGATGGTAAGGCCTTTTTCTAGGAAACTGGTGATCACATAGCTCAAACTAGAAAATTAATATAGACTATCTAGTAAGATATTTCTTAAGATTTTTCTTTAGTAAACTTGCAAGGGCATCTCTACTTACTATATGCATTAATAGGCTGAGACCCCTTCAGAAATAACTCTTGTTTCTGTAGAAGAGGATTCAGGAAACACTTGATCTTATGTGATTAGAAATCTTTGGGGAAATGACTGCTTTCTGCACATAGGAAAGCTTCTGGGGCAGAGCACATATGTAAGGTCTCTCTGACATTTAGACTTAGTTGCAGCACAAAAGATAGAGCTATATTTGCACTACAGTACATGGAAGAATTAGACATTACAGTGAGAAAAGGTTTTTTACTCCGGCCTTTTCCAGTGTTAGGTTCTGAGGGAAGATTAGAACAAATAATTAATACAAAGTCAACTACAGAAACTTGACATTTAACAAATTCACATCAAAAGAGGTGAATCGGCATAAACATTGTCCAAATATTAATCTTTTTTATCTGTCACTATTTACATGAGCAGGGATTTGTTTATGTCCAAAGCATTTAACAAATCCAGCCTGCTAATATTAATACTACTGAACAAAGCTGGGTAAAACCTGCAAACACCTTCCTTAAGGGTTGTATTCATATCCTTTCAATGTTGCCTTTTGCTCATGCCATTAAGTTTTGTAGGTCCAGGGACTCCTCCTCCACCTACATATATATAAAGATTGTGTGCCAGGTATTTGAAAAATACATAATTTTATATATGCATCCATGAGTTTCAGACCTAGGTGGGCTTTTGTGTTTAACCATTACAGAGCAGACAGAAAATAAACTGACAAACAACAACAAAAAGGCAAACATGAGATATTCTTTGGTCTTTCTTAAGCAAACAGCACAGCTAAGGTAATACACATGGATAAATTATCATAATTAACACAGGGAGTAAAAAATACTGCAAACTGCTTTCATTAAATACATGTAATGGAAATTGGGTTTGCTCACAGATGGTCATTAAAAACAAGGAAGTTGAAGTTGTTATACGAATGATTCATTGTTAATTATTAATTCAGCCCTAATTTGGGGTCAGACTCAGCCTTGACTCTTGCACAGTGTAGGATTTGTGTTTCAACAACCCTCTAATCATGCATACGGAATAAACTGCAGCTTCCTTGTTCTTTTCACATTTTCATTATCAATAATAATTATGTACACTGAGTTTGTAGTGCAGTTTCTTATCTTACCTCAATTTCCTGATAGGAGTTGTTGATCATGGCTATTAGCATATTAAGCAGCACCACCACCATGGTCACGTTATATACTCCATAGAGTACGTATCCAATATTCTCAATGAATTTATGATCATACTTCAGCACCACAGATATCACTTCAGATAAGCCAAATATTGACCAGAATAAGGTTTTAAAACTTTCTTCTACCCTAAAAAATAAAGCAAATGATCACTCTATAGAGTCGGCACCAGGTTGGACTGGCCAAACCCTAATAGTAAAAGGGGTAATCCAGCAATATAAATATGATTCCTTGTCACAGTTATTACAAGCCACTATCTATCACCCAGGGACACGCCAGATCATATTTCCTGATCTGATAAAGAAATATGATTTCTAATAAATACTCTGAAGTGACAGTGCCCCTTTGTTTGCTCCATCTGTTCTTCTCAGATGTGTTACTTGTCATTTGGCCTTTGAGTCCCTATTAAGGACTCCTTCTCCATGGGCCACTTGCTGTTTGAAACATTTTGTGTAGGGCCCAGTACTTCTGCTCAGTCACTCATTTCTCATCCAGAGAAGATAGACAGCGATTATCTAGGAAAGGGGAGAAGGAATCTATGTTGACTGCCTCATATACAATTTCCAGGGCAAAAGAGACCTTTTACACAGAAGGAGTCAGTGAAAAGTTCTGTTTTGTGGCATTAACATAACCAGCACACTATGCAAGTAAAGTCATCCCCTGGTCTGATTTTCTTCTCTTCCTGCATTGAGGTTGTAAACAAATCAGATGCCCAAAGATGTGTAGTAAAAAATTTAAGTTCCTAAAGAATTTGAAATTAAGGAGTAGTAAAAGATGTTACAGAGAGGCACTTTAATTTTATTGTTACCCTTGCTTGAAAGTAGGAACTAGATGAAAATAAAAAGCTGAAGGATGGGAAAAAAGGAAGGGATGACAAAGAGATGGGAAGTCTGCAGCTGAACTTACAGGCCAAAAGGAGACCTGGAGGGAGCCAAAGCTATAACAGGCAGAAGGGGAGCAGCCATAACTAGAAATGAAGGAATGAGGAAAAGGAGGGAAACTGGTACATTTTGGAAGCTCTTTGCTTAGTTTAAGTTAGAAGCAAATATGCCTTTATTGAATAATCCTTAGAATATTAACAAGCAATTACCTCCGCTCTGCCCCTGGCCTCCCAGGAGGTAATGTCTTCTGAGAAAACAATGCCATTAACAAATGATTTTGATTTCTTTTAAATTATTATTATTAATATAAGGATGGCAGCTTAATTTTGCTACATGTTTATAAAAACAGATTATAGACACAAACTACAACATGTCCTAAGGCAACAATAAGCTTTACATCTACTCCAGTATCAATTACACTATACATGCAAGCAAAACAAATTAATTTCAACCCTTTGAAAGGCTAGTGCAGAGCACTGGGCAATTCCTTTCTGCCACAGCAGACTAGTACTTATGTCTCATCACAACTCATGGCATTCCCACTTCCATTTGCATGTAGCATTAGTAAGACTGCAGTAAATAATTAGGTACCATTCTCTGCCAGTATAACTGCATTTACATGTGGGGATAACCCTGAGCGATGTGTCAGAGAGATGTTGCACAACATCATTTAAAAATGTGGCTTTCTATTCAGTCTCCACGTTACTCAGAGTGTGCTGTTGTGTTCACTCCTTGCTGCTTTCATAAGGCTGGGACACTGTGCAGAGATATATTTGTCTCCTGCCCTCAAGTGCAGGAAAGGGCAGCTCACATTATTATGTTAGAGACCCTTCACTTTTATAGTAGCAATCTGGTTTGCACTTATTATATTAAATGTTGTATTTTTAGATAAAGAATGCGTACAACACCAAAAACCTTTGGCTTTGAAACCTATCATCCAAGTCACTTATCAAACTAATAAAAAAACATAACCAGTAGCCTTGATCCCAGCTGCACCCTGCTATTAACCTTCCTTTTTTAATTTGGAAAAGTTCCCTTAGTTTTCCACCCTGCCGGTGGGTTTTTAATACAACACGCCATCTCTGCTCCTTCTCTGCAGCTCAGGCATTAACCTTTGCTCTGGAGTGGTGCCAGGTTCTCCTTGAAAAGTTAATTACTGCCTGTATGTGGCCCTGACTGCCCCAGGCAAGCATCGGCTCCAGCACAGCCACCATGCTCCTCTGCAAATGTCCACAGTCCTTATTCCCAGTGCCATGTGTGGGAACAGTGCCCACAGTAGTGGGAGGTGCTGTGAGAGGTGAACCTGTCCTGCAGCACCCCAAAACTGCTCAGCAATGCCTACAGACAGACACAGCTCTCCCACTCGTGGGGAAAAATATTTCTAAGGAGACCTTGTACTAGTTCGTCCCTACCCTCTGAAAAGGCTGGGTGGCTTTCTCTCTCCCTTTTAATCTACTGTCAAATTGCAGGAGGTTTGGCAGAGGTTACAGGGAACAATTTTTTTTTCTTCTCCTTTTTGAGAATGTCTCACTGAAACACGAGACAAGGATGTTTGGAGCCAAGTTCCTGAAGTTTCCAAGATGTTGATGTGTCTCATCATTGCCAACTAAGCAATTTACCCCCCTCCTGCAACATCGGGAGGGGTTATCCTTCCTAGAAGCAGACAAATGAAGGAACAAAGGAGGTCAGGAGTCCTGCCCAGGCCGACAGCTCCTGACAGCAGGAGGAGCTGGCAGTGGCAGATTGACTGATGCTCCCTGCTGAGCTGGGTATGCTGTGCTCTCACTACTGTGGTCAGGGCCAACTATGGCAGTGAGGAAAGAGCAAAGGGATTTTTGTTTCAACAGACATAGTCCTGTGGAAATTAAACACAGATTTTGCGTAGAGGAAGAATACAGACCAGAGGTGATCACCTAGTTGCAAGTTTTCCTTGCTTCTGTAAACAGCAGTGTGCTGTTCATCGAAAAAGATCGCAGCAAGGCCATAATTTCACGTCACTCTTGTGTCCTCCTCTTTAAGAAAGCTTAAAGCATCCTTTTAGATTAAGTTATTCCTTAAATTGATTGGTAAAGCTTTAACACTGCCAGAAAAGCAATGGAGGTAATACAATCTGCAAAAAATATCACATTTTGACAAAGAAGAGTGAGAAGAAAAAAGCCTTCAAGCTTCTAAGTAACATTGGCACTGAACAGTGAGTCACACTTCCCTTCAGGGAGAAGCAGACAGAAAACCTTGTGCTGTAGCCTTCAGCCTGATTTGTGATGCAGAAAGCAAGATGAACACAATCAGTCTTGCCTCCATTTCAATTTTGTTTGCATAGCATGTTCTTAATTACAGGCTGTTTTGAGAGCTGTGTTCTGTACACAGCATACAATAAACAGATAAACATCACTAGGGTCGGCTGCAAGAGTCATGAAAATTGTCTACTTTTCAGCAATGAAGAACTTCAAAAATTTTTCAAAGTATACTATGGTTAGCTAAATAATCTCTGTATTTAACAGTGTGAAGTAAAGTACACCACGTTTTTATTTCCTTTGCGTCAAGAACATTAAGATCTTAGAAATGACAGAAAGTGCATGATAACATAGTTCAGAGGCCACTGGGGTGCTACGTGACTGCCCTGTAGAAGGCATCAAAAGCAAAACTCAGCACATGATTTTGAAAGTGCAACAGCATGGTAAGTTACACCAAACATTCACGGATTATTATTATTAGAACTAAGAAAGCAATTCCCTCTCAGTGATATCTAGACACACTTTTTTTTTTTTTCTGCCTTCTTACTGTCCTGGTAAGCCATGGTTTTCTCAAATGTTCAATGCAAAGTTATTTCAGTGAGTAGCTCTTTGTCTGCTCACTGTGGAACCGGCCACAATCTAATTAATGAGCAAATCCAGAGGGCCTTCTTCTGTCCCGGTTAGGCAAGTGATATCTGATTCAGGACCCATATTAAAATAGACAAATTTTTTAGTACAAAACTTGCTTTCTGTAAAATTTCACCTATCCTCATAAGAATTCTCACCATGTCTGCCAAGAAATGTATTCAGTGAAGTCACTGAAGCCACAGAGTTGTTGCGAGTACAGCAAAGTACACATTACTCTATGCCTCAGTGAATTTTGACAATATTTGAGTTATTTATTCTACTCTAATAGTGAAATCTTCCTTCTTTTCACAAACAAGTTAATGGCAGAAGGAGACCACAGCATTCTGCAAAGCCCACAGGCAGCTCAGGATAAACAGAGGAGGAAATGTTGCTGGAATTGGTAGCTGCCTGTCTGCCAACAAAATGTTGTTAATAGCTTACTAAAATTGTTTGGGACTGTACGTCTCAAGGATTCTAGTTTGTTGAATGAGATATCTGAGAAGGATTTTTAGGATGAATGTTAATTGACAGTCTTTGTTTCATACGATGAAGAATCTCATTTTCACTCATTATCATTTGACACTCCCGTGTGCTTAAGTAACCAGAAGCCAGTAAGTCTATTTTAAATCTTTCCCAAATTCTTAAAAGGAAAATTCATGTTTATGGAAAATTTGCTTCATAACAAAATGAAGTCCCTCCAGGGTAGGATAGGTAATCACAAGGCTGAAGTTAATGAAGAAGAGCACTACCTTTTGACAAGACTCTCCCCAGCCCAGACATCCCTTGGCATTTAAGACATCTCTAGTCCAGTGAGCAGTCCTCATTTTGGTCAATGTTTACTCATTATTTCTATCAAAAGACGGTAATTCCTAGGAAGACCCACTTGGGTCACATGTGTTAATCGGACAGTTACCACCATTGCACTGGAGACTGGAATTTGTTAATGCTGTGCTCCTGTGATGTGCCTGAGACTTGTACTGAGGACTATAACTGAGGCAACCAGGGATGGTATCGACTCAACTTCTCATTACCTCTCGTGCTTCAAGGACATCTCCTTTTCAAATAAGCAGCAAGTCACATCCCACACACTCAATTTTCTTCTACCTTACTACCAAGCACAGATAAATGTAATTGCGTCTAGCCTCATAAATCCTTCCATTAAAATGTATCCTGAGGTTACAAGAAAGGTTCGGAAGGCATATTTGGCTCAATCAGAAAATTTAAACATTAGGGTACAAAGTACATGTTGCACAAAAGAGCAGGGCGGTAAAACTGGCTCCTGAGCATTTGGAAGGAAACAGCCACTTGCAGGAGAAATTATGCTGAAAAGGTCATTTCTCCTAGAGGAGCTACAAGCTAAGCCCCCAGCTCGCTGTGTGACACGTTAGAGAAATGACACATCAAATGCCAGCTGCTGCCTGCTCTGCAGCTCAGGTATTTCCAGTGTGGCACGGTTGCCTTGAAGGCAGATCATAGCAAGGGGAAAACATCACACCCAGCTTTCCTCCTCCCTCACAGGTTGGCATATGGGAAGGGAAGTCCCCACTGCGTCCCCAGGGCAGTCACAGTGATTTCGTGTGCATGTAAAGCTGCCTGCTGCGGTGTTCTGCTGGTGCAAGGGAGGAGGCTTTCCTCTGGGCACAGGGGACATTCCTGCAGATACAGCAGATCACTGGGATGTTCCCACCTCTGAACCCTCCCATGGTGGCACTGCAGTAAGTTGCAGGATGGCCAGCACACAGGAGGGAGGTTGCTGCCCTGCACTATTAATAGAGAAACAGAGAAACTGAAAATTTCCTGATCATCTCACAGAATGTTTTCCTGATCTGTTATTTTGATTTCCAGAAATAAACATTTCTGAACTACCCATCTCCCCAAGCTCAGGCCTTGAGCTATCTGCCAGGACTGGAGGCTGTGGTACGAGTTTCCCAGCCAAAGTCTGGATCTGACTTCCCCACGCAGCTAGAAGAGAAACTTTAGATAGCTCTCTCAAATGAGCAGAGTATACAATCTCTGAAAAATTACAAAATGGCAGAATTCTTATAAAATGCCATTAATTATTTCCAAGGAAATAAAGTGCTTATACAAATAAAAGTGTTGTGGGGGGGATAGAGGGAGGGGGAGGTGGTGGTGTATAAAACCCATTAGTTGTATCATTTCCAGCCTTCTTTGTAACCCTAGTAATATCATATACATTTGGAAGCTCTAACCCTGCAAACACTGGTTCTGCAGAGCCATGCAGGTATGTTTTGGGCTCATATCTGGTTGAGATTAAAAGTTTGTTTGGTTTTTGTTTTTTGTGTTTTTTTTTTTTGGTGGAGGAGATTAAATAGAGTTGAATGAGTGTGTTGGTTGGACAGAGAGATGATTGAACCTAAAGAATCAGGGCCAAAGAGGAATGTGGGCAGCCCTGGCAGAAATAGGAAGGGAGCAGCTGATGATGAAGGGAGAATTAAAATTGTTGGGCTCACAGAAAGAGGAATAAGAACACAAAGATATATTTAAGCATGTTTAGGAGATGGACTTATGTTTGCACACAGAATCACCTGCTATACAGACACTTCTCTGTTTTCAGCCGAGCACCTTACATGGTCTTTACAGAACTACCACAGAAGAGTGTTTGGCAGCACCCTGGCTATCTGAGCAGACTTAGCAGCAGCAATGGACCAGGATGGACTCAGCCCTGCAAGAGCAGCCACTTTTCCTTAGGTACTCACGTTGTAAACGCTGGGTTGTATTTCGCACCAAGGTAGTAAGAGTAAAGGTTGAACATTCCAATCATGAAGGCCAGGAACACCATGATGAAGATGACCATGAACTTGAAGATATCCTTCACAGTCCTCCCCAGAGAGATCTGCAGGGGGCCGAAGCTTTCGTTGGCTGGAAGAATGTAAGCAATGCGGGAGAAGCTGAGTACCACAGCTATTGCATACAGTCCTTCTGAAATGATCTGAGGATCCGAGGGAAGCCACTTGTTCCTGGCTAAAACAATACACGTACATTAGGTATTAGTAATGAAAAGAGGCAGATGGAAGTTATGATGACAAATGACCCCTTTTGAAGGCAGAATCTTGGTTTTGGCCAGGTGAAAAAAAATAAGGTTGGAAGCAACTGGTTATTGAAGTCCTAAGCATGCTTTACGAGGATAGGTAAGATATAGTTCTATTTTTCACATGGAAAAGATGAGAAATGAAAAAGTCACTGGAATTTACCAAAGTCACATAGCAAATAAATAACATGGGTTTAAATAAATTTGGTATTTTCAGTATCCTAGCTGAACAACAACTGTGCTGTCCCTTTTCTAGCTGAAGCCCTTGAGATGGAAAACCAAAACTACAACACAGTGGAGCTCAACCATAGCTTTGGATACATGGCACTGTGTCAGTATAAGGAATATAAGAAAACATTAGGGAGGCTGAGACTTCTCTCCCTACCATTATGCAAGGAGGCTTGGATTTGTTCAGATAAAGCAGATATAGCCATCAAGTGTATTATCTTTGTGTTATCTTTAAATTAAAACCAATTCTGGCAATGTAATCATTCTAATATTTCTACTTTGAAAATCTTCTTGTTGATAGCAGATATGCATCATTTGTTTAATCTACTGAAAATGTGAAAATTTATATTAATGTAGCTTATAAGTGTCATTGCATCAGCTGAGCAACTCGACAAAAATATTGACTCAGAGCTAAAACACAGGACATCTTTAAGGACACAGCAGTAAACTCAGGCATTATTTTCAGTAATCTGAACCCAAGGACAAGAAGCAGATGGAGGAATTCACAGAATCTGGTTGTGACATTCTGTTCTAGACCTTTTGCATCTCTGTAGCATGAACTGACTTTAAATGGGTCAGCAGCAAACCAGAGAGAGGCAAACCACAGTGTAAGTTCAGAAGCCTCTTGCTTGCCCAGGCAGGGAGAGGGATGCTTACCTGCAGGGGGACCACACCAAGCAGGAGGATGAGCCAGAGCCAGTGCCAGCTCATCCCACCACCAAACCTGTGGCTGTGCACCCTGGTGTGGGGTCAAGGCACGTTTCTGGTGCTGCATGGTGCAAGCCTACAATGGATGAAATCTGACAGCCTGGGTCTGCTTTTCCAGCCCCAAGCACATTGCTAGAACATTGTCTTGCAAACCTAGGGAGCTAAGGGTTTTCCTCTGGGCCCAGATCTCTAGATTCTGCAGCCTTCCATGAATACAGTCCCCAGAGATTTTGCCCAGGGTTACATCTCATGCTTGCAGAGTTGTGCATTGAGTCCAGCCCCTACATATAAGGCACAAAGCTCTATTCATTTGTGAATATCAAAGAACCATTTCAGCCATCAAAAATAATGTCAAGGCTATACTATTGCTTGCATTTTCAAATGTTAGAACTTACAGATGATATAGGATCTCCAAAATAGAGATTTTCTCTAGAAGAAGCAGTTTATAGGTGTACTTTGTGTTTCTGTGTCTATTACACAGGTATTGGTTTTAGCAGAGATGCATAGCACACCACCAGTTGGAAATGCAGCTCCAGATCTTATTTACTTTTTTTTTTTTTCTTCATGTCCCCTCTGTTGCATTTGGAAAATGAGGCAGGTTCATTCATCTTTAATTTAAATTATATCCTGCTCACTCACAGTTCCTGATAATTTGTTGCTCAAGCTATTTTGCAAGGATGTGGATTGACTTAGCCTTATAAGAGACTCAATGAGGTTCAGTTCTTGATTCCTTTGGGCTGTTTATGAAGATGACTGGAATGGGCAAATCTCAGAAGAAAAATTTATCTTAATTTGAAAATAACCTTTATAAATAAATACCACAAAAACTGATTTCATCAGTTCCACACACAAGCCTGAAAGAACAGGAAGCATTAGATAGCAAAAAGCATCTTACCATAAGTAAAGTAAGCAACTTCAGGGGGAAGGGTGACATTATTGAGGTCATCGTCTTGAACGTACTGATCTACGTACTGTTGTGCTTCAGTGGCTTTGAGAAAAGCCATGAACCTGGCAGTGAATGATGCCACGAAGATGGACAGCATCCCAAAGTCCAGCAGGTTCCAGAGATGCAACACATATTCTCGTGGACCTTCTTCCCAAATCTCCTTACACTCTGACCATATCATGCCTGCGGAAAGGCCAGAGTGCGTTTAACCAACATAAACAGAAAGTACTTTTTGGATTCAGACAGCCCATTGCCTGGCTACTGGTGGCTTCTAAGACCAAAGCAAATAAAATAAAAATCTACAGTTAAACTGAATCTCTCAAGATAATACTTCATATGTCACCTTAAAAAAATAATAAATAAATAAAAATAATACAATAATCTTTTAAGCATGTGAGGCTAAAATTTCACTATATTATTAAAAACTAAAATAAGTTTCTGATGTTGTCAGTAAAAGCATGGTTTTCAAATACTGAAGGCAACTACAGCTGATCTACTAGGATAAAAACATAGATTTCCTCTCTTCCCTCTAAAATCTTCATGCTAAATTGGGCCACTGAGGGTGGTGTTGCTTGCTCTGCAAGAGCTTTTCTTCTCTCCTAACCTAGAGGGTGAGTCCATTTTGAAAATGGAAACAGCTTTGTGAAAAGAACTCTGATCTAGCAGGAAATACCACCTGATTAGAGAAAAGAGAAGCCAGGAGGTCTGCCACTGCAGAACTTCTCATGAAGTTTTGTCTATTAATTAATAATGAATTTCCAAACACTAAAGTCTGCTTTACCACTTCAAATATCCTGAGTTTAACCTGAACTTAGAACCCTCCTAATGATAAAGTTACAGATAAAACCAAATGCCAAAGCCAGAAAATTCATATATTTTGACATCCGTCTTCTACTGGGTAGTGCTAAGGAGGACAGGCAAATTCACTGGGCAAACTGGAGCTAAATGATTCAGGTCAGATTCACCAGTTTGCCTGATTCTCAATCACAGCAACGATCTGGGGCCAAAATCTTGCTTCTGACTGGATAAAATGTCACAGTAATTTACCCACTGATAATTATAAATATTTCCTCCAATCCTGTTTCCATGGCAGCAGCAAAATTCACTTTTAATCAAGCAGGAGCAGGGCCTGCCAATTGCCATGCGGCCTCCTGCAACCTTGTCCTTTATATGAACTCTTCTTTGCTGGAAGCTCTCATGGTGTGGCGTGTAAATGCATTTGCTTGGCTACTTCAGAGACTCCTGGAAGCACACGGTGTCCCACGGGGCACAGCCAGAGGTTGGTTATAGGGAAGGAAACAAGACTGTGTGAATCTAGCCGGAGGCTGGAGGAATGCAGAGCAGCAGCGTGTTCCCCGTGCCCTGGGAAGGCTTTGAAAGGCAAAGGAAAACTAAACTAGCTTTCTAAGGCACTGCTAGCCTGTGACCTAGGAGCCCTGGGATCTCCAGGCAGATTTCAGGAGCTGTGCCGTGATATAGATTACAGCTCCTATGTGTCTGTCTTGAGAGAAAGCCTGTGGTCTGCTGAGTGGTGAGCAGGGGGAGGGCAGAGAGGAGCCTCCCAGCTCTTCTGCTCGTGTCCACAGGTGCACAGCTGAGTAAAAGCAAGAACTTCATCCCCAGCCATCACTCACCACGATGAGATTTAATAATAAATAGCCTAAGGCAGAAGGTGAAAGAATTGGTTTCTCAGGAACTGTCCTGGAGTGAGGATGAAATATTAAAGAAACACATTTCTATCTTAAAAAAAAAAAAAGTCCCAGAAGTGATAGCCGTGAAACATTAGGCTGCACATTACGTGTGCACACAGTATAAAAAGTACCAAAGTACTTCAGGAGATATTACTTGTACGTCATTGCCAAACACAGCACTTCTTCACTAATGCCCATAAATGTCTTTCCTGGTTTAAATATTAACTCTCCCACCCAAATTTATTTCTAATCTCGGTCACTTAATATACCTAAGTCACACGTTAATGAAGTAAGACGTGTCTAAAATCGAGTAGACTGACTAAAATTAGAATCACTCTGTGAAAGTATCACACTATTGGCCTATAATTTACATCATTCTTTTTGCCAACTACGTGACAGTCATTTTTTATCCATACATATGGAAAAATGTCTATTCAGGACAAGTAGATATGTTACAGTGATTATGTGGTCAGTGCTGCTGGGTAATTGTATATACACTGTGGAGGAGTAATTCAAATCTCCTAAAATAAAAATATTGAGGAGAGAGAAAGCTGCTAAAAATCAGGGGATCAGACATAAGACGAGACATGAGAACAGAGATAAGGGCAGGCAGCTGGGTAAAGCAGACTTTGCAGGGTGTGCTGGCACCTTAGTAATGGTGTTTCTGAGGCCCCTTGATGGCTCTAGGGGAGGTTGTTTCCCTGACTTTGATGCACAGAGAGGTGATATGAGCAACTTCTGCTCTCCAGTTTCTGGAGGTCTCTCGTGCCTGCTATCCCACAGTGAGGATAACTGGAAATGTCACCTTGACGAGCTCTTCTGGTGTCAGCAGGGGAGAGTCAAGCTACAGGCACAGCCTGTCTAGGAGAAAAATGGAAGCATGCAAGAAGTGCTGTTCACCACCTGTGCACAAAGAGGAACAGTTTGTCAGATTTTTATATCCACTGGCCTGATACATAAATCATGAGCAGCCGGTGTTGGAGAACCTACTTTGAGCCCTTCTCAATCTGCCAAAGGCCATAGGATTAGCAGAGGCAGTGGTGATCAGATTGTGTCCACCCAGAGCTTAACTGCTTCCTCTGCTGCTTTTGCAACAGGGAATTTGTCTCTCAAAATGAAATCTCTCTGCTTTCAGTGAACATTTTGAGCCTATCACTCACGCAGAAAATCCCAGCCTTCCTCACAGAAGAAATGGGAAAACTGGGATGCAAGGGGAGAAAGGTAGCCAAGGGATGATGAGCCGCAGGTGCATAAATCTAAATTGCTGTGCCCAGCACTGCAAGGCTATGGACCAAGGGGCAAGTTCTTGTACAACAGCATTGCCATATTTCTCTGTGCTGACAGGGCTGTCAGCAGCAGCCCTTGAACTCTCATTTGTAACAAAGAGGAGTGAGACCAAACCAGCATTTTCTCATCTAAAATGCTATTCCTTATCTGGCTGTTCACAGGGATGTTAAATGGGCTACCAACACTACCTGGCTGATCCAACAATGCTTTATATCAATTTCAGAACTGCAGGCTAATGGAAAATAAAGGCACTGATATAGACTTGTAAGCAGGATGAAACGTTTGCCTGGCTGAAATTTGTTGCCTCTGCTGGGCTTACTCCATTACTCACCTCCATTACAGACAGTTAGGAACCAGACGTGGCAATGTGAGCTTTTTGCCTAACTGTAGCTTGAAATTCTTGCACTGGTAGTTTTCTCTTACAGTATATATATGTGGGTCAATTTTCATACCTCCAGGAAGATTAACTGTAGGGCGTGCTATTACAGGTTGTACTCACTCATGGCCACAGTATATTATGTTAATGTGTCACATTATTCTCAAATAATGCTATTCTGAACATGCATCATTATTTTATGGTTGACAGCCAAATAACTCAGACATCCAATTTTTCTCCCCCAAAAGGAACCAAGAGCAGGGACCTGTAAACTAATTGATCAAAAATCATCTTCTATGGTTGGAACAAGTAAGGTGTCATCAGCATTCATCATTGCTGTCATAGTATGAAGAAGAAAAGAGAAAGTACAGAAACAGGAGGAAGGAATTTATGAGCTGAGAATAAATAAAATTTCACTTTTTAATTGTACTGTGAACTGCAATCTAGGTAACACACCTATGCTCTTGAGACTGAAGAGGGCAGCTGCAGATGTTGCCAAGCAGGATTAAATACATCTATGCATATTTAGTACCTAAGAGTTTTCTTACACGTCAGCATATACTTCCTATCTACTTACATTTGTCTCTTTGGAAAGCACGTCTTGCTATGTTTGCCTGTGATATTTATCTATAACTTTTATTTTTATTTAATTATATTTACACTTACACATGTATATTTCCAATATCTATAATATTTTTGCACCAAAAGTTTGGGCAGTTCATGACCCTTCATGTTTTGACAGTTCTTAAATTTGAGGGTCACATACAGGACCAAAGCAAGTGCCCTGAACCCCCAGGACAGCTGTCTACTGGCTGTGTACACTAGAATTTCTCCATAGTATTGCTGAAATATTATCCATGAAGACAGATAGGTAAAATGGCCAGAGAAGACTGTCAGTGCAGATGTAGGCAGTCATTAGAAAATCTCATTATATTCAGAAGTCTGTACAATGAATCACCTTTCTTCTGCCAGGAAAGTGAAAACCCTTGCTTTAAATGAAATGTTTTCTTCTTCATCTTTCAGGAACTCACCAGGCAGGCAGATACCTACTGCCTATAAGAAAAGAATACCTAGGCTAAAATCTAATCATCTTGTCCAACTGCTTTAATATCATTTTTAAAATATCTCTTACAGACTTACTCTATCCAGTCTGACATCTATTCATTTTTTTTTCTTGTCTAATATCCTGTATGGGATTCTGCTTATTGTGGGGACTGGGAACAAAGAAATGGTGGCCAGGAAGTCATCAGATAGAGCAGTCCTATCCTATTTTTCAGAGCAGTTTAATGCCATCAGTGCTTATAGAACCATGGAATTATTTGTCCTTCTGCAACAAAATAATCAAAATCATGGTGATGAATAAAAATAGATATAGAAGAGATACATAAAGATTCTGCAGAGTTGATAGACTCAATTTCCCAATAAATCCTTCTGAGCTTGTTTAGATTAGTGGTTCAAAGTAGCTGATCTGCCGGGAATTAATTGTGCCTACAGAAAAATTAATACATCTGAGTCTTCCTAAAACTCCCAAGAAGTTTTTTAGCATGTGACATAGTTTTGCACTTGAGGCGTTCATCCAAATGAATCCATAACTTAGAATTTTTGGATAACTTCATTGGTAAATAAAACATAAAAATAGAAAATAGAAAATATTTCATACTATAAATTTCATAAAATTTATAATTTTTGCCCTTATTTACCCAGTAATTTTCATCACTAGATCTCAGAGAGCTTTACATATATCTAATAACAATAATATTCCTATTTTACAGATGAGGAAACTGAGGTTCAGTGAGTTACAATAGGATTTTATGTGAGGGTAATAAAACAGGCTAGTCATTCATGTCCCAAACAACACATTTTTTTTACTCACTTTAGATAGAGCAATGTCCTACAGAGAAGCTGTAGGTTACTATGACTACATAGATTACTACATTCTTTAAGACGCAATGATTAAACAAGTAGGGCAAACAAATATCATCTATAACATTCAATATGGAAAATTAAAAAGTAGAAAAGTGACAATTTGCTAATCATTATTCATTTCATTTTATTTATTTATTTCTCTCTTTGGCATATCACTGTCTATCACACTATTCCTAGTCATGTTTAATTTCCCTGGAGGACTTGTAGATATTTTGGTTTTGCTTACCCAATACCCACTTCATGATCAGCAATTCTGTCCATGAGAACTGTGTTGTTTTGACTCTAAATATTTGTTTTGGATGATCCGTGATGGTTTCATTGGGAAGATTTTTTACTCCTTCAAACCGATCTGAAGCATTTACTACTAACAGTCCAAGGAAGATTGTGAAAGAAACAGCATGTGCCACAAACTTCATGAAAGGACTTCGGAGGGTCCGTCCCAACTGAAATGAAATGTACACAAGACATCAGATTTTTTATTTATTTATTTATCTATTTATTTATTTATTTTCCAACTACACTCTGGAAGTTTTTTCCTATAAAATTTTAACCATTTGTCCAAGGTAAAAAGGATCAAATTTTAACAAAAATTCAGAAATGAATTCTATATCTTGAATGCAATGAGTTTTAGATTTTTCCAAATTATTTTTTTGCTATTACCAGATGTTCTTTCTTGCAGTTTAAATTATGCTGTGAAAATTAATGAAGCATCAATTCTTCCAGTCAGTCTAATGTTTTATGACAACACGATATTTTTTCCAAGCAACACGACACAGTTAAACTCAAGGTGTGTAACTACTTGTATGTACCAATTTCTCAATTACTTTATTAAATCAAAATTTGATCTTTCATCAGAATGGGACTGCAGGGAAGTGCCTGCCTGCCACTGTTAGGATGACAAAAATGCGGACAGAATGTGAATACAAAGATTAATTCTTAAGAGAATAGCTCATTTCAAGACTTAATATCCTATCTGTATCAGAAGAAGCATAAAAACACATAAAAAAGAAAATACAAAAAAAATGTGATAGTGAAACAAAGTTTTCCTAATGTAAATTAATCTCAACTCCAAGATATAGGAACAAATAAAGATAGAAATGTCAAAAAGAAAAAGAAAAAACTACTATTTTCAATAGTGTGTTCATAGCAGAAGCTTGACAAAGATTGCTGTAGAAAGTAGGTGAACTAAACCATTATAGTTCCAGTGCATAAACGATACTGATTCCGTCCCAGTGGAAGCTATGGCTTGTAAATCCCCAGCATGGCTACAATAAAGCTGAAGAACAACCCAGATAATGAAAGCTGCTTATCAATTATCTCTGTTACTTCTGTAGCATTTGAATGGACTTCAATGGACTAGAGAAGAAAGGTGACACTTTGTAAAACTCTGCAGGCAGGCCAAGCAGACATGCTTGCTCTTGTCATTACATTTTTGAGCAGCAGACTGTGCAATTTTTCCATCCTAACTCTTGTCTTCTCTATTGATCACCAGTAAAATGTTCTGGAGAACAGCATATAAACCAGCAGTTTGTTTCAGAGTCTCAATCTCCATGAGATGGGTAAGTCAACACAGACATTTCAGGATAGGTTAGGCTTCCACTCCACAAGTTTTGTGCTAACACTTCATCTATCCAGTGAATGAAAAACTGACACTAAAATTGCTTTTAATAAACATAATGCTGTGCAACTGAATGTAAAAGAAGAGTTCAGTTGCAAACTCTGGTTAACTCTACTTACTAAGTTTTTGGGAATAATATTTGCTATTGTATATAATAGACCACAGAGCTTCATTAAAGAAGATTTTCAATTAGAGAGTAAAGGCTTGAAAATATATTTACTCAAATTCAAGTAAACAAATTGTTCTGAGATATAAATTATTCTATATGAAATTGTAGATTTTGATTGGTGCATCTTAAGAATGGAATGCACAGCAATATTGGTCAGTACAGCTTTTATAAGCAGGATTTCTCATTACAGAGGTTTATTTATTTTATTTTATTTATTTATTTATGTATTTTGTGTCACTGTCTGAGCTGAGAAACGGGTGCCTGACAGTAAAACTTGAACACAGCCCTAGCCCTGTGCAAAAAATCTGGTGAGAGCTAAAACTCCAGACAAAGCACTTTAAGCCATACTCACTAAATCTTCAGCCTATCGGGTTAAAAACAGAACTAGAGATTGACTCAAATATCTTCAGAATAATATCATAAATAATTACAAAATATAACATCAGATGAAAGCAGTGAAAAAGGCCCAGGAAAGTGGCTTTATCACCTAGGGTCTGTCCCCTGGTTTCCCTGGAGGCTGCAGAAGCTGTCCTGGCACTGCCAGGCAACTCCTTTGCTAGAGCATGTGCCTTTTAGGTCAGGACTGATTTAAGTTAAATATCTTTAGTTGATTGTTACTAGGGAAAAAATACTTAATTCTCACCCAGTTGTGTAAAATTACAATTGTTTTAGTGACTTAAAGACAAAAACAAACAAACAAACAAAAACTTATAAAAAGTGACCAGGGGAAACATGGACTGTCTAGAGAATCACACACGAATCTCTCAGTATCATCTTCCTGTCATAGGATAGCTGCCTGTGTAAAATTGCAGTAATAGTATGCTCATGCATCAACCCTCAGCCCTTGAACTTAATAATGATGATTTTGGGTGAGTTTTCAGTTCACAGGGGGAAAATGCATTCATTATGCCAATATTCGGTTATTTATATCAAAGGCCCCAATCAAAAATCAAGACTACATTGTTCTGATCAATGGCAAACCATGCATTGAAAGACAATCGACGAAAGAACTTACAATTTGACTTTAGGATAGAAAGTTACATGTGGTTTTTCAAGATCTAAAGTGGTATGAAGAAAAAATTGACACTGAAAATTGAGAATGCATGAAAGGTTTAGTGGAATAAAATCACAGTCACTGAAAAGTCCAAGGGGATTGTGCTGTCTCCATCTTATTTTTAACACGGCTACCTCATTAAATTAAAACCAAATAACTTTTTCAATTATTTATTGTTTCTCCTGTAAAAGTAATTTACTTCAAGACTTTGACTCTTTTTCTGGCTTTTTTTTTTTTTAATGTTTTTCATTTAAATTCTCTGCTTATTTCTACTCTAACTGTACTCCTTACCTATTACTCTATTCAAACACAAGCCTTGTAATGCTGAGAATACACCACAAATGTAGTTGTTGGCTGGTGTGCCAGCTCACAGGACATTCAGCAGATGTGAAGGAAATTAAAGAGTTTCATAAATCCCTCCTAGACTGAATTCTGACATAAAGCAGTCAACAGTACTTTCACACACAAATTCCCACTGTGGCCTAACCAAAACCAACCACAGTGCAGCCCTGGTTTCACATGCACTTCTCCATGAGAAACCCTGGAGTCTTATCCAGTATTCATTAGAACTGTGGGCTTTTGTGTTGGTACATATCTTGAGAAAATGAAGTTACATTTTCAAGCACTCTAAGAGAAAGTACTTGTCTTGGAGATATTTTGAAGGACACCAAGACTTAAACATGTTTTATTATCTCAGATATTCTAAGAAGACTGTTTTCAAGAGGTTTGCCTGGTTATACTACCAGATGAATCTTTTGAAATTATAGGGTTTCCTTAATAACAGTCAGTGGATCTATACTTTCTTGGGCTTGACAAAGTTAGAAATAATTCCTTGCTGAGTTTTGGACAGAAATGGAAAAAGTTGCTTTCAAGACTGAGTAATATTACCAATGCCAGGAGTCATTTCTATCAGATTTAAGTACCTTTGATAACCCTCTTGCTGAGGACACTTTATCTTGTAATAGATGGTGTTGCTGAACATAAAATGAACTTCTCCCCTCCCACCATTTTTTCTCTCTCTATCTATCTATATTTCTTTTACCAAGAGTAGTGAGAAAGATTTTCATCACTCTGCCACATACCTATTTATCTCAACTCGTTTGAGCAGTTTCCCTCGAGATGGAAACCTACTTACCGAGTTCAAACCACAGACAACTCAGGCTTTTACACAAACTAATGTTTGGTTCTGTGACCTCTAAGCCTTGGCAAAACTCTCCTGCTCCATTTGATGCTGTGAGATATAGCATGGCCATATTTAGGCAAAGGGAAGTTTTCCAAGTTTCATCATCTTTTCCCTCAAATCTGTAAAGATTGTATGATTAAGTCTAGTCTCCAGCACTAAGCTGTCCACCATGGCTGGCCAGAGTTTCAGGCACATGTGCCATAATAATGCTCCACTAACTGAAAATATAAGATCAGAAAGGAGGAAGAAAAGGATGAAAGGAACCTTGAAAAATGGACAAATCTGTTACACAAAGTACAGAAAAGTAATGAGAGTCTAAACAGCAGAGTGAACTTAAAGGGCAACAAAACCCTTCCATTAGTTATTCCCCATTTTGGCAGTTCTATTCTTTCATCACCCCACTCCAGTGTTGTCATCCCCTTTCCATTTGTTATCGTTCTTATTTCTTATTCTCACCTGTTATCTCAATGCTCCTTCCCCCACAACCACCACTTTCATTAATTTTGAAGATGAACCTGAGACCATGCCTAACAGGTCTATTTGTGTCTATCAAGCAACCCCTCAAGGTAGCCCTCCTCTGAGGCAATTTTAGAAGATAATCACAAATCACCTCCCAACAGTGGCACAGAAACATCTGTGACGTCATTCCAGGCCCTGAATAGAAATCACCATCAACAATATGCACTTAAAGAGTTTGTACCTTGCTGCAGGGAGCAATCCAGTAGGCTATGGCAAGGAAGGGCAGGCCAATGGAGACCCCGAAGACAGCCAGAAACTTCACAGCTATAGACTGCTGCCGTAAGCCTGAGAGGTTTTCATACCACATGGTGAGTAATTGCTGCTGGCAGTTGGGGTGAGCAACAAACTGTAAGAGAAAAAGAAGCATCAGTAGCATTGTCTGAAGAGAATGAGATTTTGGTGAGCAGCCTGCTGAATGTGCCCAGTGGAATGTCATGTCTTTGTAGTCCAACACAGCTTTTGGTGTCACAAACAGAAGATTGCAAACCCAACATCTGTCAGTGGTCAGGATGGACAAAGCAACTCTGTGGGGTCAGGGTCTGCAGCTAAGACAGTCCACATCATGATTCAGAAAAGAAAGAGAGGCACTTCAGTGCCAAACTCAAAAAAAAAAAAACTCTGTTAAATTGCTAAAGACATAGGCTATTGAAGTAGTAGCTCAACACAGCCCTAAAATTGTATTGTTTTTATTCACTACATATTGACCTTAAATGAACCATTCTGCACTATTCTTCTCTTGTAACCCATAAGATGTCTGGCTGATATTTTGCAGTGAACAACTTTAAATACTTTATCTCAAATTATCTTTCAAAAATGATGGTTCATTCTTTACTGCTCAGGCAAAAAGACAAATTTAGAAGCAGAAGGAAGTGCTCTGGTACAGAAAGTACATGTTTTGTATCCTGCAACTGAGATTCTTCATCAGCTTATTGTTCAGAGGAAGAAGAAAAGGCAAGAAGCAAACAACCGAAAAGGGCAATTTCTTAATGGGAAAATGACAGCCCCACTGGATCCCTTGGAAGATTTTTATAATAAAAGATTAAGCTTCTCTATTTCATATTATTCTTCAGAGTGATTGAATTTAGCATATGACTGTTTTTAATAACAAAGAAAGATAATTAAAAGGAAAATAACTGGAAGAAAAGATGAAAAATAAATATGTTGCTAATGCAGCTGATTACATTTGGAGAACTGATTGTTTCATTTATGAGTTTGATGGGTGAGTAAAAGTTCTTAGAAGGGAAATACAAAACCCTCCACTATTTCAAAAAGCAAAACTTTCTTGAGGGAGAGAGAGGTTGGAAGAACACAGAAATAGGAGAAAAGAGGAGGCTACTGGGGCCTCTGTGGAGGCTACTGGGGCCTCTGGAGGCTACTGGAGGCTTCTGTGACTGTTGTGGCCCCACACAGGGGTGCGTTGTATTGTGGACATGCACCAGGTCTGCCAGCTGTTGCCACACTCCAGCCCTTTTCCCTGCAACCAGATGGAGGTATTTCAGCTGTCCCCAAAAATCTGTCAGTCCAGACATCTTAGAAAAAACACTGTTCATCCAAATGCATCCTAGAAAAGCGATACACAAAGCTGAAAACCAGAAAATTCCAACCGCGTTTTCATCTTCATTGTCTTTGCAAAGATGATCACATCAGAAATCTAATGGACTATTTTCTAGATGATTGTATAATAACAAAACAGTTACTTGATTTTTAATGACCAGTTCATTGCTAGTGCTGAATGAAATACAGTTGCACAGCAATTAAGATGGCTGTGGAATACTGCATTTCCTCTTTAACAGCACATTAATGACCATTTAAAATACACTTCTTCAGATGAATTTGATAAGCTTCGTGGTAGGGGAGCTATGTTTCTCAAAAAGAAAAAGAAAAGGAAAAAATGACTACCTCTCACTGAATAAAACTTTCCGAGTGAAGGAATTTGATAGGTTCTTTAGTTGAAGTGGAAGCACTAGCAGTAGGGAGGACTGCAAGGGTCACAAAAAGTGGCCATTTAAAAACATTAAGTGCTTTACCTCCTGGTCAGAAGTCCTCCAAGCTAATAAGGATGATCCATCAGGATCTGTGAGCTCAAGCAGACTGCTTTCCAATGTTTCTGGTTTCAGAAGTGGCTGCAGCAGCTTTTCTGATCCCATGCCATACACATGCTGGTAGATGGTCACATTTTTTTCCTTATGCCATATATGCCTATATGATTTACTAAAATATAACACTTCTCTCCAGCCTATCAGTTACATGTATTTTTTAAGTTAAAAAGGCTTAAAAAAATAAATAAAAAATCACATGCCAATGTGAAAAGACAGCTTAAATAACAAATTTACCAGCGTGACATTTTTGAGAGCTGCTGAAAGACACAGCCACATTGACAGCTCCAAAAGTCAACGTTCTGTGCCACAGGTAAGCAAGCTCTGGATGAGATGTGGCTTTGAATAAAACATGGAAAAAAATCTCAAAGCCTTTAGTGTGAATTGAGAGTCCAAAAGAACTGTTTTGCACAGAGAAATAAAGAGGATGTTTTAGAGATGACTGTATATAACTCATTGGATGATATCTTTTCCACATTGCTGTCTAATCTGATGCATGACAGCTCATTCTTGTAGCTTATCATGCATACGTGTTGTGGGAAAGCACTTTACAGCTCTCATGACAGAGAGCAAGACTATTTCCTCAGCATCTGTGTTCTAAAATGCATGAGTTTCACTACACAGACAATAAAAAATCTTTATATCCCTATAAAGTTCCTTCAGATCCAGAACACTGTAAAATAGAGGAATTTCTGTCCTTTTTTTTTTTTTTTTTTTTTTTTTTTTTTTTCTAGTATATTATACAGAGACCTGTGATGAGGACCCAGATACTTCTGCTGGTCAGTATTAACACTGCTGGTGCCTGAGCTGGCAGTGGTTAGGCACCCTGCAAACACTCCATTCAGCACCACCCACCACAGCCCTTAAGTGAAGGGCATCTCTCCATCATCCAAGTACTGGATAAACTACAGCAGTTTAAACTAAGCAGGTGACAGAAAGATAGGAAATTCTTGAGAGCACCAGCCCATGTTGAGACATCAAACAGGAAAAATATCTATCTCAGAAAAAATGCTGCAAATCTATCAGCAGGAATAAGAAAACTTATGGCAAGATAGGTAAAAGGCAGAGATTGGCCTCAGGTGATTGGAATTAATCACACGGGGGAAAAAAACACAAACAAACATGTTTTTATTACTGAAATAATTGTAATTAACTTATGAGTGCAGAAATCCACCATCAAGGCAAAAAAATTAACCACTCAGATAGGTTTATCTGCTCCGCTCAGGCACATGATGCTAAATAGCCAAGGGCTGAGGCAGGAAGGAAAAACTCCTCAGTGGGGCAGTGCAAACAGTTCAAGAACTTCATGCCAGAACCAACAATGCAAACCAGACACTTCAACATCCTGCTTTCACAGGGAACACCCCTGTCACGTTCCCTCCCGCTCACCCCTTCACCATAAGCCCCGGAGTGCTGGCAAATATCAGCAAATGAAAGCTGCAATTCAGAGGAGCAGTGGTGTGTTTAATCAGCAAGTGAGAGCTAGAAAAGAAGCTGCATCAACAGATTTGCAGGAGAACATTTGTAATGTCAGCAGACACTGCAAGAGGCAGAGGTGGGCCATTTTTCTTTCAATCATGTAACTGTGTTCATCTCCTTTGAACCAGTTTTCTGAGTTATTAAACGTTTGTCTTTTGATGTAGTTTGTTGCTTCTGCAAACATTCTCTAACAGGCTTAAAACTGCAGCACCTGCTCATGGGAACCCTGACTTGGCTGCATGATGCTTCCAACACTGGAGATCCTAGAGAAAACACCAGAAGTAATCCTGTGACTCATTTGAGTCAAACATAATCACCCTGTGCCTCTGTACCACCTTGCCTCTCTGTGCCACCATGTACAAGGGAAAATGAGGTGAGCATAGCATGGTGTTTACACGCGGCTTCTCCTGTTTTGCCAGGGATGTCAGCAGGGAACTAAGAAACAATGGTGCAGCTGGAATCCACTCATACCAAAACCCAGGTGGGACCTGAACCACATGCATCATGTGCTCTGAGATGATGAAAGTACCTTACTGTTATTAGAGAACTTCTTGTTATACCTCACAGAGTTGCTGTGCTGCTGCTTCCAGCAGGGTGGAGGCCAGCCCTGATCCAGGCAGCAGCAAAAACAGAGGCAGAGAGGGCTGGAAAGCAAGACTTGCCCTCCTCCACCTCTGTGTAGAACATGTCATGTTTCTTGCACCAAATCCTTCATCAAAGGAGATATGAAATCATCCTTTTTCAGTGGGCTGCTGGAGATATTCTGGGAGTATCAGAAACATAGGTAGAGGTGGATGAAGCTTAGAAAGCAGGATATTACTGCTGCTTCCCTGAAGGGTAACAAATTTACTGCCATTTCACCAAAGAGGATGAGCTGAATCAAAGGGTTAAACAGGTGCCCACATGCACATAACTTAAAGAAATTAAAAACAAATATATATATATATTGCTTTCAAAGCACTTATTACTTCTGAGGATTCATTTGATAGTTAAAGCATTTTTAAGGTTTGGGACCTAAATATCTGCATTTATGCTGAATAAAAGCTTTTGTCTGAACTGAAGCATTTGCTTTTTTTTTTTTTTTTTTTCAAAAATCTTGGAAATAAAAAGAAAAAAAGAAAAAAGGAAAACAGCTTTTGATCTAGTAAAAGACCCCCAATACTTGCAGTGCTTTTTCACCAATGCAGAACAGGAGATGAAAGAGCACGGTGAAAATTACTGAAGCTTTCTAAGAAATACACAGTAGAGGAAAAGGCCAATACATATATACAGATAAGCCTTTTCTTATTCTCACCTTGTACTCTGTGTTCTCTGAACTTCCAAATGAACAGAGAGAGCTTTGTTTTGAATAAACTATTTTGAGATACCTTAACAAAACAAGACGGGACATATTTATTTCATGATCCAGAGTGGGGAAAAAAAATCTGCCTTCAGCAGTGCTTGTGTTGCTAAATTCCAACAAATGTGGTTGTCAGAGGGTAAATATTGTGGGAGCTTGACTCTCCACTTTCTGTCGGGCCTGATAAGGAGTGCAAGGAACACTGTAGAAATTTTAAGAAAGAAATAGAAAAAGTACTTGGACTCAAATCATTATCCCTTTACTTATTAATTTAAAAAAAATAAGTGAAGTTCCAACCCAAATATCCATGCTGTGGGACTGTGACCTCTTCACAAATAAGATCTGCTTCAATTATGGTTAAATGCTATCCATGGCCACAGGCCCAGTTTTTAAAACCCTTTGCACCAGAGTAGCCTTACAAGGGAAAGCACA